CGAGCCGGCCCATTCGTGCAAAGATGTTAAAGCGGGCTCTACCACTGTAAGAATTTGCATTTCTGAACCTTGCTGCTTTGCCGATAATTATTATGAAAGGTACACTGGAACTTTAGAAATTGGTTATAAAAGTTATTTTTTATGTCTTGTAAGACTTGAATATTTATTTTTTTAAAAGAAAATTTATTATTACTAATAAGAGTTCCAGGAAATACTAACTTTGAACATTTTCGATTTTTAATATTGTCTTCATAAATTTCTTCTGTAGAAATAAAGAAGAAATATTGATAGAAGAATAAGAAGAAATATAGAATCAAATCTACTTTGTAATTGTTGATATAAAAGTGACTTGTTAATATTTTGTATGACGTAAATTGTTTGCGTTTTAGAGCGCGCACATCTTTGACTAAACTATTGCACAACCGTTTCCACTTTGATTCTTATGGCCTTATATAGAGGTACATTATTCGATTTTTAGTTGTGCAACTAAACAGTTGAATCGTGAAACAATCGACAATCGCACAACAGTTGTGCGACAGTTTAGTCAAAGGACCGCCCGCTGTATATTTTATGTGATATTTCCGTAAGATAAACTATGTAGAGATATGAATGTATAGACATGTTTTATAGTTTTTTGTTTTAGTTATTTTGAATAATACTCTTATGAAAATCAATCTCATGTGTTTTATTTCATTTTTATTTTAGTGTTTTGCTTAAAAAATAAGGAGTGACGTCATAAGTCTTGCCAAAAAAAATTAAACCACATACATTTTATTACAACGGGTTACAATACATTTATGATAATTAAAAAAATATGTACGAACATACAAAAAGTATGACAATCTTGGTCTACTATATGATTTATCATGGCTTAAATGCCCATTTCCACTGTTGCGATTTAGAGTGCGTGTCGCGCGTACCGCTAGAGGAAAAAGACATTAAATACAGGGTTTACAGCTCTATTTCTTTTGTGTTAGTGACGATACAAAAATATTACATTTATTTAAATATACAAAATATATTAGTGAGCACTTTTCAATGAGATTATGATACGATTATGGTTCTATATGACTGCTGAAACAATATAGGTATTGCTGTCTCTTTTTGTTCTAAAAGAATCAACGCGATAGCACGCCTACCACGAATATTTGACAGAATGTATTCGTAACGTCGCCTTTATACGATTCGTTAGTCTACGGCCGATATGAGCGCACAAATTTAATACAATAGTCGATGGAAATACGAAAAGTTTCTCACCAATATTCTTGATCAAGCCTTTGGCGTTAGAAAACTGCTAAGTATAATGATTTTAGTAACCATAAGAGCGCGCACAACTTTGACTAAAATGTCGCATAACTGTTTAGACTCGTTTGGATTCTTATAAGCTTATATGGAGGTGAGCACACTACTCGATTTTTACTCGAGCAACTAAACAGTTGAACGGAACAATCGACAATCGCACACGTTATGCGACAATTTATCTAAAGATATGCGCCCTCTCTGATAGAATTTTGTCACATCGCAATAATAAATGATTTAATTAACATATATAGTGAAAACTTCTATTTACAGCTGAGCACATTTCGATTTTGAACTATATTTTAACATCAATTGACAACATATAACTTATATTTTAACATACAATCCATGCACGATAACTTAAGTCACTTGCATTGCGAACGAATTTGTCGATTGTATTTTGTTTCTGATCGAAATTAATTTTTACTTCGCTAACTGTGTCGTCGTTATTTAGATCTCATGCTATCGTCCACGAATATTATTTATTACACAAAATGCTTCTGTTCATACCCTACTTAATCTCTATTAAAATTTATGATGTTCGTAAGTCACTGATAATATATGAAACATTACGTAAGATCTTCTTGTAGAGGCTAGAGAAGGTTATAGAGGTTTTCAACTTAATCTATACTATTATAATAAAGCGTAAACACACACTTTGTTGCCTAAGATGTCAGCAATTGCAGCATATTTTTGAATAATCCTTTTATTAATAAAAAGCCCTACACTTATGTCATGCTTTAGACTATATATTTTCACGTATTATACTTAGGGGGTAATGATTTTGGATAAAAACCCTAATGTGGGAGAGACCATAAGTTGCTGCCAACATAAAGGAAGCAGGATTGTCAAGGTTTGTTATGTCATGTTATTTTGACATTTGCTATTAATAATTTGATAAATGTAAACAATGAAATAAAACTTTCATAATTTCATGCGGATGAAGCCGCACGAAAACAGCTAGTACTGATATATGTAAGGAGTATCTCAGTTTGTATCCAAGCGGTCGTTGGTTGGAATTCGACTAATTTGACTATTGTTGAGAACGTTATTTTTCAAGCTCATTTTTAAAACAAAATAATGCTAAACGTTATTAATTTTAAAATAAAACTTCTTGCCCCTATTCCACTATTTTGCAGTGCAATGCTGAGTACAAATATTTAGTAACTAATCTACAGGTAAACATTTACAAATCTCTTACTCTAAGGGCCTGTCCCACCACATTGTAAATTGTCTGTTATCACTCCAACGTGTAAAACATGATGGTAATATCGGATTTTGTTACCTTATCTGACAGCGACGTCATTTAGCTATCTGAGCCTCTATCAGCCAGTGGTGGGACAGGACCTCAATATTATTAATTTTAAATTAAATTGTTGCCACTATTACATTATTTCGCATTGTAATTTTGGGTACAATTACTAATCTACAGGTAAAAATTTACAAATCTCTTACTCCAATTTAATATATCACTAATTTCGAGCAGGTAAAACTATAGGTTATTACAATAATTACTTCCTCTATAAAAATATACTTATCTTGTGTATAAATATGAACATAATAGTCAGAGATACAACACTAGTGATGACCTTCCCTCATCAGCTTTCCTGATGAAACCTACAATACGTGAAAGAGCACATTTTTTTAAACATGTTGTAACTGGGTTGCCTAATCCTAGCCTGACAAGGCTATATTTAATTGATCTCTGAAGTGGGCAATTTTTAGAGAAAAACCCATACATCATATTTCTTGAAAATTTTGTCACCAATCGATGGTACGTAACGTAAATATTACTCTAAGGTGGGGTTGCCTATCTTTTTCCTGGCAAGAGTGGGGGTTGCCAGCTATTAAATGGCGACAAAATAGAGGCTAATTACCTTTATCGAATTTCCTCATGAAATTATACACAAAATGAAGATATTAATGTTCCTAACACAATGGTATAGGGTTGCCTCACCAAAACTTGGCAAGAGATAGGGTTGCCACGGTTTAAAGCTTCTCAAACCTATCAAATCTATCGTTTATATTGATAATAGACTAACTATTCTCATTACAAGGAAAAACGCTTTGTATCTTAGCCTATAAGCAGCCATAGATGTAGATGGAATTTTAGAGCGGGCGCACAACTAATGACTATACTATTGCATAACTGTTGTGCGATTGTCGATTGTTTCGCCATCAACTGTTTAGTTATACAACAAAAATCGAGTGTAACCTCCATATAAGCTCGTACGAAACAACGCGACTAAACAGTTGTGCGAGAGTTTAGTCAAAGAAGTGCGCGCTTTACAAATTTGATAATTGAGACTCGATTCATATGTTAATTTGTATAGTAAATAATACTGAATTTAATCCATAGAAGGATTTCTAAAGCCTTTTTTGCCTCACTTTTGTGCTTTGAATTTTATAAACTGTAACATTCGATAGTTCAGTCAAGCTCGGAACTAAGAATCTATAGCTGGTTGCATTATTCTTATAAAAATTGTTTGTTTTACAGCTCACTTCTAAACTTTTCATATAATATATACTTTTTTTTATAAAAACTAGACACTGGCAAAATTGTTTTCAAATTTTTTATCTCTGTTGTGATAGGTACTACATAAGCTATCGGTTTTTATTTACAAAAATAAGGTAATTTAAAAAATTTGCCTATTTTTTAATTGTCCCGCAATCATTATTCTATCATTAATATTATTCATTTTGTTAAAAATAACATTACCTAAATATATTTTACACTGATCTCTATAAATGGATAGGTCATTGCTAATGACAAGGTTTGCTTCGTTCCGAATTTAAAATCCTGTTGATGTAAGTGACACTTAACTTATACCCAAGTATATTTAGGGTGAGTTGCATCAAATCGCCGGTTATCGTAAAAGTTATAGTTATAGTTAATAGGGTTACAAGTGCAAAAACATATTCTCACAG